GTGCCCCCCCCCTCCGGGGGGGGGGGGTGATTTCTCACTTTCGGACTCTCTGTCTTTCTGGTGAGTGCATGCGGTCTATAGTAAAACCTCTCCAAAAAAATTTTTAAAAAACACAACCGACTGCGGTCAGTGGCATGTTGGTTAAGGCAGTCGGACCCTACACAGTGGACCACTTGATTTGAGTTCCAGACCCCGAAGTTTGAAAAACATGCCAGGAGCATGTGCGTGCATGCCCAAAATTGCAAGAGGAGAATGCAGGAGAAGGGACCGCAGCGTGGCCATTGCCTGAGGGGGTGCTTTTCCATTTTCTCCGGCTCTCCAGCCAGCATGCACGTCCTACGGCAGTCTTTTTTTAAGATAACATATTCTAATGACAATAATAATAAATAAAATTAAAATAAAATAATTATTTAAAAAAAAAGAAGATAACATATTCTCTTGAAAATAAACATGCTGAAAGCAGAGTCGTTTTTCTCAAAATGTTTAAGGGGGGCTGGCAGGTGGCATGGTGGTTAAGGGCACTGCACGGCCACATGGTCGGCCGCAGTTCAAGTCCCGGACCTGGCGGCTTGCTTTCTCACTCCCCTGCCCCCTTGCTCATTCTCTCTCACTCTGTCCCTCTCTGGTCAAATTGAAATAAATAAATAAATAAAATGAAGTGAAATAAAATAGTTATTAAATAAAAGAAAGTCTAATAAAGTCTGTCTCATGGGACTAGTGGGTGGCATGGTGGTTAAGGCGCTGGACACTCCCACATGGCCAACTGCGGTTCGAATACTGAATCTGGTGGCTTGCTTTCTCACTTTCCCTCTCTCTCTGTGTGTCTCGCTCTGGTCAAATTAAAATAAATGAATGAATAAATAAAATTAAAATAAATAATTTAAAATAAAATAAAGTCTGTCTCACCATCAACCACTCATAAGCAATCTAGTTTGGTACCTTCTCTGACAAAGATGCCACCTTAAAGGGCATCAGGAGAGTTTTCCAAAGATACAAAGTTCCACGTGGGCTCAGCAACACACACCCTGACCTGTGAACTCAGCTACAGGGAGGTGAAATGTATATGTAATTATCCTATTTTTTAAAACAATGAAAATCCCCAAATTGTTTACAATTTTAAATTTGATCGCACTTATGCACAAGAAGGCCATTCACTATATTTCAATAAACGTTAATTGTTCTGAAAATGTGCTTTAAAAACATGTTAAAATCTGACCAGCTAGAAGCTGTCTGACCTCAGGAAAGACATGCAGGAGGCAGACACCAGACCAGACCAGACCAGACCGGACCAGTAGTGACCACGCAGATCCACAGACCCACTGTGGAGACGTCATGGATTCCACACAGACAACCGTGGGCAGCCACAGGCTCCCATTTGAACCATCTTTCCATTAAAGTAAACGAGGAAAACATCCCGGGCCTAGCTCTTCCCATTCTCCACTTTCTCAACTGTCTGAAAAGATTCTTAATAGCCATAAAATAAAATCCTGCAGACTGATGAAGTGGTCCAGTTACCAACGAAAGCCTGAAAGCACTTCGAACTCAAAGTGACTTTTCCTTGCAAAACCAGACAAAATGTCAGACGGCACCCATGCCTGACTGACATCAAAAACAGGGACCCAAAACTGACGAGACTAAAGCTTGCATTTAGTCTCCTGAACAGGGTCCAGGACGTTCAATGTTGATAGGCAAAACACTGCATTCGACTTTTGACCTGAGCATTCATTCCCACACGTTGTCTCGAATCCTGTGCATGGCCACTAAATACCTCCTCCTACCGGTGAGTTTACAGCCCTTCTGAAATCTCACTTCCCATTCTAATGTCTACCCTGAGAAATGAGAATCGGGCTCAACGACCTCATTTTTAACCTATGCGGGTTAGAACCGCAAATCCCCTCCACTTAAATAAGTGGCTCTCTTTTAACATGCAGTTCTAATCCTTCCTCGCTCCACTGTTGACTGGCTGAAATCATCTTCCACCTTGACTCAAAAGGGGCAGAATGGCTGTCCGAACTCAAGCTAAGTGACCAACACGCCCTTTGAAAGCGGGTTTCAAATTGAAACAGAAACACACGTTTGTCCAAATAAACAACATCGAGGAAAAACACCCCTGTGAAAGAATGTACAAGCCAGAGCTTAAAACGAAACCTTTATGTCAAATCACAAATGATTTCCTGAATCGCTCTGCCAAAAGTCCAACACAAAATTCACGTGCAAGGAAAGTCTGAGGAACTCTCTTCTGATTAAATGCGATGCTCTAACAGCTCAGGAAAGCTTCAATAAGAGATTCTCATAGCAAAGCAGTTCTCTCCTCCCCGGGTGCCCCGGCATCTAAAAGGTTTCCCATCAGCCCTCAGGACAGACCAAAGATCCGGATTACGCAAAGGTACACCTTTAAATTTACCTTAGTTTCCTTTCACATGCACAAAAAGTGTCCACTTCGGATAAACCCATTCATTCTCGTAACACAACACTAAGTCCGAAAGAACCAAAACGTTACACTCCAGTTAATAAATTTCAGCTCTTAGTGGCTGTGAGCACCAAAACAAGCACTAGCCGAAGAAGAAAGGCCAAAACGTCTCCAAGAATGGGGGAAGACAAAAATAAATAAATAAACACCAAACCGAGGCGGATGTCAGAATTGGAAACAGGCCAACATCTGATCGGCCACTCACCTGCAGTTGGGTGGAGGGTCTAAAGTGATGTCCGCCAGCTCCTTCTGAATCCTGCAGGCAGGAGAAGCGGGAAGAGAAGACAGGCCGTTAGGAAGCTGCGCAGGGGTGCGGGAACCTCCGGCCGAGGCACCTGCTACGACCAGGCCTGCACCCCCGCGCCAGGCGTGGGACCCCCGCGCAGGGTGAGGCTTTTGTCACAGAGGCGGGGATCGGGTCTCTCCTCCTCAACTAGAGTGTCCGGGTTCCAATCCTGCCTCGCACACCCAGGCGTTCTAGTTCTCGGCGGTTTCCGTTTAGGAAATAATGTCCAAGTTTGTCACTTGAGAACCAGTTTGCGAACCCTCCCCTGGCACCTCCTCCCCAGGTCAGAGGGATCAAAGCCAGGGGTAGGGGCGGTGGGAGGGACAGTCTGCGGCGGCGGGAGGGAGGGGCCCACCGGGATCTCCCCTTGGCCCCTCCAGATGCCCCGCGCCCACCCCGGCAGGGCGCCCCCAGCCCGCGGGTCCCAGATCGGCGACACCGGCCTCCCAGGGCTGTCCCGAGTCCTCGGCGGGGAAGCCAACATGGCCGCCCCCCGCGGCCCCCCCC